GGAAAATTACCCAAAGATTCGCTTTTAAAACTAATTAAACTTATAAATATGAGATGAGGGAGGCAAAAGGTTCTTGAGATACTTCCTTGAGAAAAAGTGTTTTTATTATTATCTAATTTCTAGTATGACATTTTCTTCCCCTTTCCCTTGAAAATTTTTTTCTATATAAGGTTGCATGTCTTTTTTTTTTGTGAGAATAAAAAAAATCCGTAAATTAACTAAAGATGATCTGAAGATGAAGCTAAAAAAAATTTAAATAATCCATAACATTTGAAGGTTCTTAACAAACAGGATCATTCCTGGGTACATGAACACAAACGATAAAGGCATAAATTATGTAATTTTATATAAATTTCACGCACTGTTCAAAGCACCAAAAAAGTGGTTTATGACATTTGTAACACAATGAACTTGATATCGTGTCACGTGTTACAATGCAGCCAGATTTATCAAGAAATATCTTTAAAAAAATAACCTTATTGAATATAGAGATATTCGTTAAATTAAAACAGTGAAAGATTGGATGAGAAACTCCTTTAATAAAAAAAAAATATGAGTGGCCTCTTTTTCAGTTGGTGGGTTGAGAAAGAGCACACAAATCTTTTTTTTTTTTTAAAAAAAGATAAACAAAGCATCATTTTTAATGATGACAGAGACGGCAACTTAGAATAATTTGCCGTCACGACAAAGCAAGACTGGAGAAAGAATGAAACTTTAATTCAGTCACATTTTGTCTGATGTTATCTGATTTCTTATTATAATATATCCGGTACGTTCTTTATAGCATGTTTTCTTGCATATTCATAAGACAAATAGAATTCTCCTATTAAAAAAAAACTGGATTTTTATATCAATTATAATTTTGATAGTGTATATTTGCATTAAAAATTGCATGTGAAAGATTAAAATATATTTTCTAAACGTAGTAAGTATTTAATAGAGCAAAGGTATATTGAAAATATACAAACATAAACAATTATAAATATGTTTCAAATAACAATGTATTATGTGTATTGCGATAATGCCATAATAATCAACACATAGACATTTCTTGTTTGATTCTGTGAAGTACCTTCCATTGCTTTTTCCCTAGACATTATTGTACCATGTTAATAGAAGTGTCGTCTTTTTATTGGCATAAAGATATATACGAGGGTTGCCCCACAAAAACATGGAAACAGTTTCATGATAATAACACATTGAATACGATACTAATGCAAAAATTAAGAAGATATATAAGCTTACATCGGCGCACAAAGGCAAGAATAATTTATGTCTCTTATAACGTCATAATCATTTTAAAGTACTGTCCCGTGGACTTACCACGCAAAAAAGCATCTCATTTATTTTTTTAACTGAAAAAAAAAACAACTTGACTGGGGGCCTCACAAAAAATAACCACTGTCAATTTCTATCACCCAATTCAAATTACAGTCCTCAATTGTAGCCTTATATTGTAGAAAGTAGAAAATATACAATGTTAGATATCAATCATGATCCATAACGATCGTCACCGTCTGAATTTATCAAACAGCACTATTTTTCATATGTCTTTTTTCGGTAGGAGGTGAAAACTGTACTTGAATCACTTCGGCCATATATAAACAACTTCTCTACTACCGTTCTTGTAGGTAATGCCACTTCTCTATCTTTTATCTAACTTTCAAACTGGCAAACCACATATTAAACAATTTTATTACATCCCCGTGCGCCGCTAACGCATTTGATGACGTCATTCTCAGCAAACTTAATTCCAAAAACATTTCTTACTAATGAAGATAAATGTTAAGTTAACAACTTCATCTTTGACCAAGTCATATAATTTGGTGAAAAGAGGAAAAATGTAACAAAACGGTAATGATAAAAAATAAATAAAGTTAGGGACATTCTGTGCATCTGTATAATGTTTGGCTCTTTTTTTTTACCCCTATTGGTTTTTTTAATTTACCAATTTAATTTATCTGAAATAAGAAATTAAAGATATCATATCTCATTCTCAATTTGCACGAATGATACGAAAACAAACATAATAAGGGTTAAACAAATTAAGTTTTACAAGGATGTTTTTATTTGAGGGGGATTGCACAATCCAATTATTACAGACAAATGTTTAGTTAAAATCCTTATGGGGTATTTTTGTAAAAAAGAAAAAGGCGAAGAACATAAAATAAGCGTATTTTTTTTCTGCCTAAGCACTTAATGTACCTCTTTTATTTTATTCTATGTTATTTTTAAAATCTCAATCATCAACAAACAAACATATCTTAAAAAGGTATCCCTGTTATCTGGCTATTATGAGTCACACTCCTCAGTTTGGAAAACTTGAAAATATGTCTGTTACAATTTGTAGTGTGCAAGATAAAGCTCTTATTTGTCACTATAATTATTTTGTTAAAATATGATAGCATTATGTATTAAAAAAGGAATGAAATTAGTTTGCTTACATATATCTTGTCCCATCAAAAGATGATTAACACTGTCCAGGTATATTTTTTTCATACACTTTGACTATTAAGCTGGCCTCTCCTAAAGTGTACGTCTATTTTATAGAAAGACACCTTTTCAGTTTATCTGTTTCCATCTCTGAAAAATTGTCCAGTGGATTTTTCATACACTTTGACTATCAAGCTGACTTCTTCTAACATATTTTTGAGAAAGACACTTTTTTCAGTTTATTTATTTGCGTCTCCGGAAAATGATCTCTCTCGGCGTCTTTGTGTACCTCTAAATTACACTGGGGTACACAATAAAAAGTGATGCTCTACTGAGCACGAGGTGTTGAACAAGAAAAAAAAATCTAGTTCATTATTCATTTTTTTAAAAAAAAAAAGAAAATTATATCACTGTGGAAAATACAGTGACATTTAAAACCCCTCAAGCAGTGCTTTCACACTGATACAACGGCAACAAAATTCATTTTCAAAATGAGATTTTTTTTAATATTTAAGGTGTTAAAACAGTGTTTAATGCACTAAAATATTTCTTTAAAAATTTGATGTATAGAATATTGTACTGATGATAAATACTACTGGGGAAAATTACAAAGCAAAATTCTTTTTCCAATAAAAAATGCGTATTAATAACAATTGATGTTAACAATTAAACTTTTCTGGAAATTTATACAGAAATGCGGTCACCTCTGTGTATCTTTTTTGCAATAGAAAGCAAGAACCTACCGATCTTAATGACATTTTTCATGAGTAATGATTAGGAAGCCTAATCATACAATAAAAATTTAAATTTAACAAATTGACGTTAACTCGACAAAACATGCATATAACAACATATTTTCTGGTTTGCAAGCGCTATTCTGTCAAACATAAACCAATGCATGCATTTATTATATAGCGTATAAATAATAAATCATCTAAAATCTATAGGATTTCAGCGTTCGATATCATACAATTCATTGAGATGTGCTTGTTGTATTTCGTAATTCAGTAACTCCAATGTAAACAAATTTGATTATTCAATATACGAAAAATAGCGGGGTCTCTTTTCAGAAGAGATTGCAGAGTTATACAATATTTCTTTTAAAGGAATGATCGACATAGGATCATAAAATTAACGTTATAATATATGTAGATATTCTTTTTTTATTATTTTGATTACCTTAGTTTAATTTTGTATGGGTATTTATATACATACATTTAATTTTACATATATTTAATTTCACCACTGAGTATGACCTGTAAAGGATAGCCCCATTAATTAAGCGTCATCGTAGGTATCATGGTGTGTAAGGTATAGCTAAGTGATGTGTCAACCACTCTGTTATATCATATTAACATTGCAAATTGAAATACATATAAACTGAAACTGGTGAGATTTTAAATATCTTTATCAACGTTAATATGCTGAAAGTCCCCAATGCTAATAATTTATTCGGAAACACCACTGAACGAATTAATTTCTTTATTAAGGAATGTGTACTTCAAAATGAAATTCTTACGCATTTAAAGAAAAATGTAAGTTTAATCCCCATGTAACTGAATAAACTTCTGCATCTCGATGGTAAATGCAAATAATACTCGTTAGTACTAAACAGGTTCTGAAAGATTTACATGTCGGTGCATAGTTTGTTTGTTTGTTTGTTGTTTAACGTCCCTCTTTAGAATTTTCACTCATATGGAGACGCCACCACTTGCTGGTGGATGGCTGCAATTTTGACCTTTACTCGGCACTCAGGGACATTGAGCAGTGATGGATCTTTTCGTGCCTGCACTTATTGCAACACGGGACTTCGGTTAATACGGACTCATCCAAAGGACCGATCTCTACGTGGAATTCGAACCCACGAGGTAATGATCAACTCCTTACATCGCGACTCTAGAGCAAACGCTCTAACCTATGCGCCACGCGGGCGACGGTGCATAGCAAACACAGTAGTAAACAAAGAAGTGCAAGGCGTAATGTGTGAGCAAAGTGTTAAATCTGCAGGATTCCTCATATGGAATCATCTGTGATCGGCTGGTAATTCTCATGAAATTTGATTCTTGTTTACATTATATAAAACAACTCAAATACGAAAATGTTTTACCTTTCTTATAAAAGAGTATTAAAACCCACTGGAAGCTTGTGTATTTGTACTGCCAAGTCGTGCCTATCATCACCAATATAAGTGAGATAACCCTATATTAATCACCTTCTGTTTCCACTACATAGTAGGATTGTAATATATCTAGCATAAATGAATATATTAGAACATGCTGTTTCATAAAAGGCTTTAATACTTTGCTTTTTTCAAACTACACTTTCCCATGTTATGACACAGAGTTTCTGCAAAAAGCTTTCTTTTTTGGAAAAGTCATACCTATATATATCTCCTCGTCTTACTGCATAAAATACATATTACTCACTTCCTAAAATAAATTTCCAAAAATATTGTTTCAGTATAAAGAGAAACCAGATACCAGTAGAGTCACATTTTCTTACAACGGTGCTAATTAGATGTTTGGTTTGGTTTGAACATATTGAGCCCTCTCCACAGTCATGCTAATTAGATATACATCTCTATGGGAAACACCTAATATTCATATGTATGAGGATCATCAATGAATTTTTATAGGTATCTATTGTTACTCCTTGTTTAAATTGTATTGTCGGCAATATCAGTAAATTTATTCACATAGCATCGCAACTGGTTATTGATAAGAAACAATTCTCCTACACAACTGTCGATTTTACACAGTTTCATACGGACTGGTATTTTGGTGACCTTGGTGCACTTCATTCAAATGATTAGGTAACAGTAATGTATTTTCGGAAGTATTGTCGTGGTTGCCATGGCGATCGATGCTCCGCTTCCGCTTTCCAATTTTCGTTTTCTTTATTCTTTCCAAAAACTTTGGCTCTAAACTTCTTGCTTCCCTTGCCAGATGTTCCTCATCCGGGTCCAGGTCACGTGACAGAAAAGCAACAGATGTTCGATAATTCTGCCCAAACTTGTATGGCGCACGCGCAATAAAGTGAGAGAGTGTTGTGAATCTGTGCACCAACATGCAGAGAAATTGAAGAACGAAAAGAAATCCAAATACAATTAGGAACACTAAACCTACAAAAGAAAAAAAAGATGTGAAAAATAATGTTTGTCGAGAAAGGCAAAAGCTCGGAAACATCGGTTCTTTTTATTTAATTACATGATGAACATATTTAGTATATTATCAATTTTGATGAAAAAAAATGCAAATAAAGATTAAGCATTCTGAACATAAGGAGTTGATCAAAATATTTGAAAATGATCAGGTTCCATTTCCTGAAGATAACAAAAATTATAAAAACAACCAAAGCCACCCCCGATTCTAAGTGAAAATGCTCTTCTACAGTCTTTGATAATTCTAGATGAACAGCTTATTCCTGTCCAGAGATCATTTACTTACTGAGTGGATTTGTCCCTGTCACGTGTAGGTCTATATATTACTTACTGAGTGGATTTGTCCCAGTCACGTGTAGGTCTAGATACTGCTTACTGAATGGATTTGTCCCAGTGTAGGTCTATATACTACTTATTGAGTGGATTTGTCCCAGTGTAGGTCTATATACTACTCACTGAGTGGATTTGTCCTAGTGTAGGTCTATATAATACTTACTGAGTGGATTTGTCCCAGTGTAGGTCTATATACTACATACTGGGTGGATTTGTCTCAGTGTAGGTCTATATACTGCTTACTGAGTGGATTTGTCCCAGTGTAGGTCTATATACTACTTATTGAGTGGATTTGTCCCAGTGTAGGTCTATATAGTACTTATTGAGTGGATTTGTCCCAGTGTAGGTCTATATAGTACTTATTGAGTGGATTTGTCTCAGTGTAAGTCTATATATTACTTACTGAGTAGATTTGTCCCAGTGTAGGTCTATATACTACGTACTGAGTGGATTTGTCCTAGTGTAGGTCTATATACTACATACTGAGTGGATTTGTCCCAGTGTAGGTCTATATACTACGTACTGAGTGGATTTGTCCTAGTGTAGGTCTATATACTACATACTGAGTGGATTTGTCCCAGTGTAGGTCTATATACTACGTACTGAGTGGATTTGTCCTAGTGTAGGTATATATACAACTTACTGAGTGGATGTGTCCCAGTCACGTGTAGGTCTATATACTACATACTGAGTGGATTTGTCTCAGTGTAAGTCTATATATTACTTACTGAGTAGATTTGTTCTAGTGTAGGTCTATATAATACTACTGAGTGGATTTGTCTGAGTGTAGGTCTATATACTACTACTGAGTGGATTTGTCTGAGTGTAGGTCTATATACTACTACTGAGTGGATTTGTCTGAGTGTAGGTCTATATACTACTAACTGAGTGGATTTGTCCCAGTGTAGGTCTATATACTACGTACTGAGTGGATTTGTCCCAGTGTAGGTCTATATACTAAGTACTGAGTGGATTTGTCCCAGTGTAGGTCTATATACTACATACTGAGTGGATTTGTCCCAGTGTAGGTCTATATACTACGTACTGAGTGGATTTGTCTCAGTGTAGCTTTATATAGTACTTACTGAGTGGATTTGTCTCAGTGTAGCTCTATATACTACGTACTGAGTGGATTTGTCCCAGTGTAGGTCTATTTACTACATACTGAGTGGATTTGTCCCAGTGTAGGTCTATATACTACATACTGAGTGGATTTGTCCCTGTGTAGGTCTATATACTACGTACTGAGTGGATATGTCCCAGTGTAGGTCTATATAATACTCACTGAGTGGATTTGTCCCAGTGTAGGTCTATATATTACTTATTGAGTGGATTTGTCCCAGTGTAGGTCTATATACTACTTATTGAGTGGATTTGTCCCAGTGTAGGTCTATATAGTACTTATTGAGTGGATTTGTCCCAGTGTAGGTCTATATACTACTTACTGAGTGGATTTGTCCCAGTGTAGGTCTATATATTACTTATTGAGTGGATTTGTCCCAGTGTAGGTCTATATACTACTTACTGAGTGGATTTGTCCCAGTGTAGGTCTATATACTACTTATTGAGTGGATTTGTCCCAGTGTAGGTCTATATACTACGTATTGAGTGGATTTGTCCCAGTGTAGGTCTATATATTACTTATTGAGTGGATTTGTCCCAGTGTAGGTCTATATAGTACTTACTTAGTGGATTTGTCTCAGTGTAGGTCTATATAATACTTACTGAGTGGATTTGTCCCAGTGTAGGTCTATATACTACTAACTGAGTGGATTTGTCCCAGTGTAGGTCTATATACTACTTATTGAGTGGATTTGTCCCAGTGTAGGTCTATATACTACTTATTGAGTGGATTTGTCCCAGTGTAGGTCTATATATTACTTATTGAGTGGATTTGTCTCAGTGTAGGTCTATATATTACTTATTGAGTGGATTTGTCCCAGTGTAGGTCTATATAGTACTTACTGAGTGGATTTGTCCCAGTGTAGGTCTATATACTACTTATTGAGTGGATTTGTCCCAGTGTAGGTCTATATAGTACTTATTGAGTGGATTTGTCCCAGTGTAGGTCTATATAGTACTTATTGAGTGGATTTGTCCCAGTGTAGGTCTATATAGTACTTACTGAGTGGATTTGTCCCAGTGTAGGTCTATATAGTACTTACTGAGTGGATTTGTCCCAGTGTAGGTCTATATACTACATACAGAGTGGATTTGTCCCAGTGTAGGTCTATATATTACTTACTGAGTGGATCTGTCCCAGTGTAGGTCTATATATTACTTACTGAGTGGATTTGTCCCAGTGTAGGTCTATATACTACATACTGAGTGGATTTGTCCCAGTGTAGGTCTATATACTACTTACAGAGTGGATTTGTCCCAGTGTAGGTCTACATACTACTTAATGAGTGGATTTGTCCCAGTCACGTGTAGGTCTATATATTACTTACTGAGTGGATCTGTCCCAGTGTAGGTCTATATATTACTTACTGAGTGGATCTGTCCCAGTGTAGGTCTATATACTACATACTGAGTGGATTTGTCCCAGTGTAGGTCTATATACTACTTACAGAGTGGATTTGTCCAAGTGTAGGTCTACATACTACTTACAGAGTGGATTTGTCCCAGTGTAGGTCTATATACTACTTAATGAGTGGATTTGTCCCAGTCACGTGTAGGTCTATATATTACTTACTGAGTGGATTTGTCCCAGTGTAGGTCTATATACTACTTACTCAGTGGATTTGTCCCGGCCACCTGTAGGTCTATACTACTTGATAACGTCATTATTATCACAATCCACAAACAGTTGACGATCCCGGATACCATCAGCCACTCGTTACGTAGAGTCTCTAGTTTTGCTACAAATAATAAATGTATAATCAGTGACCTATCTGTACTTATCTTTTATCCTTCCAAAGAAATAATTATTCACTAATTTGAATGTAATGTATTCATAAAAAATTTGATTATGGTGGCTAGACAATTTTTAAGAATCTATTTTTATTTATTGATAAGGAAATAAATTATACATACATGAGATGTGAAACAAAATCATAATTTGATCGTAGTTCAAAGTTAATAACTATATTTATGTTTTCCTTTTAAATACAATTTAGGCGTTCAAACAGTTATAGATAACACTTTCAAAATAATCTACATATACCAATACATTTTTTTTTAAATCAGCCGATTTCAAGAACTTTTAAATCCCTTTTATTGTTAAAATAAGATGAGAAGTTTTCTATGAATTATTCGAAAAGGAAAGACAGTATTTATGTTTAAATTCTAAAACATAACTTTAACATTCAAGTAAACATGTATTGAAAAGTTTTTGGTAGGATTTCAAGACGATGGGCTCAAATTTGGTGAGACCAGTCGACTGAGAATATTGACTCCAACAAGGCACCTGATCCCATCTCTGACGTTTTCAGAAGTGCGGTTGACTTTAAATAACGAATACTGTTATTCATCCATCTTCATTAACTGTTTCTTAAATGGTCTCAAATGTCTTGAAATGATTTTCTTATTGAAAAAAAATTGGTTTGACTTTAAAATAAAAAATGAATTTTATTCCTGCTTATCGGTGGTAGTTTAAGAAAGAATGATTTTCTTTTAAAATGTAAGCAAAGAAAGGTTTAAGAAATAAATTATTTTCAATATGGAAAATTCACAAAGTCTGATGAATTTTGATCTTCTTAAAAGTATATTTACTTTTGAGAATTTGCTCAAAACCAAACACGTCAGCAGAGGGCGCTAAACACGCCTCAATTAGATCCGCCCAGAACTTGTACTCCTCCTGGTTCACGCTCCTTAGGTCGTGTTGGTAGGCCCGACCGATCTGCTCCTTAATTTCTGTAATGATCCGCTCCTCTGCAATAGTAGAAAGAAAGATATGTTATGATCCGCTCCTCTGCAATAGCAGAGAGAAAGTTATGTTATGATCCGCTCCTCTGCAATAGCAGAGAGAAAGTTATGTTATGCTCCGCTCCTCTGCAACAGCAGAGAGAAAGTTATGTTATGATCCGCTCCTCTGCAATAGCAGAAAGAAAGTTATGTTATGACTCGCATCTATAATTTTGATTTGATTTGAATATATTTTATTGTAATTCATAATTACAAAGGGATTAAGCACAAGTTCTGAAAACTTATTACGTCCTCTCTCTAATCATCTATCATAACACATACACGTTTTCTTGTATAAAGAGAATATCTGTACGAAATGCGACAGGTGTACATGTGCGCATACAAAATACTGTGTACTAACAGATTGTGTACTAACAGATTGTGTTCTAACAAATGTCAAATTACATCTTCCCTAAACAATGCCCTAAAGAGAGAGGCATTTTGTTTTTCTATATAATTTAAGATATAACTATTTTGGTATGAGAAAATCTGCGAAAAGATTTTTTTTTTGTTTTTTTCATACAAATGTCAGAGAAATACTTTCTACTTATCTATATTACTTTACCCGGTGTTGGATTGCGAAGGCAGTCTATGGCGTCAAGTAAACGTTTTATATGACCTGAAAGTATGTAAAACTGACATAAGAATCCTACCTGAAAGTGTATAAAACAGACATAGTTATCTTACTTGCATTAAAAGGTAACAAATTCTCATATTCATTTCAACAAGACCTTTTGGCATATAAAGAAACCTAATGCTTTCATATTTGTTGAAGTCGCCTTTATTTACTCCTACATGTACATAACATTCACTTTAGGAGCAGCCCAACAATTGCTGCAACTCTATCTCCCATTCAAGTCCTTATTTTCTCTTACTCTTTTTCGCCCAAAATATACAGAATTCATTTATATCCACCGAATAAAACCTTAAGCTAAGGCATATTATTTATTTTGATGCATTTGAAATTTGATATCTTAACACAAAAGATGTAATGGAATACCTAGCAGAACAGTCTATCAAAATCCCTTAGAATGCATGTTCATTTACTAACAAAAATTCATCTGCCCTCTCCAATCAACATCATTGTTTGTTTTTTTAAAATAACTCATCCATATATAATTTACGTATATTCATATATTCATGCATGCAAACATTGTTGAAAAAAAACATTGATGAACAGTTTATTTCAAAACACAATATAATTGTATTATGCGGATAAAAGTCAATTCATTATAAATATATACCGGGTTTTGTTATTTTAAGGTCCTCCTTAATTTCTTTTTCTGTAAACGATTTCAGGGCTACCATATCTTTGACTGTTTTAATTTGGTTTCTATTGAAATTGTGTTTGTATTCCTCCAAACCAATCATGTGAAGCCATGATGACACGTCTTTCTGAAAGAAAAATATTTTTTGGCTTTCAACCACAATGATATTAACGTTTTTCCTCTATCACAAAAATAAATGAACCTTAAATCCTGTCCTGATTATAACACTCAATATTTTTCCGTTTTCAAAAGTTTTGCATTAATGAAATATTAAAATTTCATATGAGAACACACCGGAACATCGATAGGAATTTTAAATTCTGGAATATCCTGGATTTTCCGGTACAGTTTCTGGCGATGAGCCACTTTCTCAATCCCTATTCGCTTAAGGTCCTTCTCGGTTAACATCCCTAGAAAGTTTGTATTCTCATATCCCTTATCCATAAAGAGAGATTTGTACTCCTGAATAAAACAAAATAAAATATCTAAATCAGCATCATCTGAATGAACGGTAAAACAAAACTCAGGTTTAACCAGATCTGACATTTTCTAAGAACATACTTCACGTCGATGCAGTTTTAATCGTTTAATACAATAATTTTAAAATCGATGAAAATCAAAACCAGTTTTAACTAAAAATTACTACAAATCATAACAAAAATTCCTCACATAAGCAAAAAAAACTAAAGCAATGGCTTAGTTTTCATAAAAATTACTTAAAAAGATGGAATTTTTTCTTGTCTTCTGTTAGAGTTGAAAGAAGAGTAAATCCAACACAGGGCATCTATACCTTCATGCCTTTTGGGAGCCATGTTTCAACAGGAAGAGGATTATCTTCATCAAACTCTTCTTCACTTTCTATCTCTTCTACTTCATATTCTTAAATGTAAAAAAAAAAATCAAAATACGACAATAAATATCTCAAACAAAAAGAGTGGTACAACAAAGGATTAATAACTTTAAATAAATTATGCAATTAAAAATAACAACTTGCATTTATTAAAAAGTGATCCATAGGAACTTGTTTATCTCATTTAGAAGAAATTGGCATGTTTCAAGTGGATAAGTCTGTATTTCAAAATATTAAACACAAATTTAAATCGGGTTTGTTATTCCAAATAAGGTGTTAACGCCAAAACATGTCTATTATATATATATATATATTTTTACCTATATCCTCCTCCTCTTCAAGCTGGTGAAGTCTCTCATCCTTGTCTTGACTTCTTCCCTGATCTCTCCGTAGAGATTGGACTGGGACATTGCCTACAAATAAATCGTTATGAAAATGTGAAAGGAATGGACTGTCAAAATTTATATAAAACAGGTTAATCAGGGTTCTCCATTGCCTACAAATAATACGATATGAACAAAACGAAAAGTCAACATTTATATAAAATATGGAATTGATGATTTCAAAACGTTTCTGTCAAATTTGATATAGAATGTATTTCACAATTTAGTTCATTAAAGAAAAATAAGAAGTAATAGGTTTCAAATGGTTTTAACTAAGAAAGATAGGATTTAACATCTAAAATATTTGACTATTAAAAACATTCCGTTAATTTCAATGTCCTCTGATTTATATAGAAAGATTAATACCAAAATGTAAGAATTCTAGCATTACCATCAAATCTAAATCCTGGACCAACAGTCTTAGAAAAATTTTGTGGAGATGAGTCCTCATTTTGAGAATTCCTTCGCAGTACTCGGGGTAAGTATGTGCTTTTCTCGGTTATTGTTTCTTTAGTCGAGGTTTCTTTCTTGTCAAAACAGCTGTATCAGATACAAAAATACAAATATATAAGATTAGAACTGATTTCTCTCAATCATCAGAAGTCAAATTGCCATTTACTATGAGATTTCTTGGTTTCACTTACAAGAATATTTTCCTCATGACTGTCTCCATGTCGTCATACCACGGCTTGTCCTTTTTCACAGTGTTGTGTTCTTTTTCCTCTCTTGTTCCTGTTAATTCATATAAAGCGAATTATTTCATTATGACGTGTTACAATACAAGCAAAAATGCAAAAGAGTAAAAAAAAAAATCTTTATTATTTTATTAAAGTGGCCTATGGCGACACTATGTTTTAAGCGTTTTTCACGGGACCGATAAAGTGTCCCAAATTGATAACATAAACGTCGCTAACGAGGGAACATTATTAAACATTTTTCTCCCTATACTAAATTTCTTTAAAATTCCTGTACGTTATAGCTGCAGGAAACGCTCTTCAACAATAATTGATTGATTCTCTTTCCCGGCGAAGCTTCCAACTTAAGAGGTAAATATATGTATTGTTCCTTCGCCAAGCGCCTGGTACTACAAGAGAAAGTCAAGGTCTTTCGGATGAGAACTTAAAATCCGAAGTCCCGGTCATGGTAGGCGTTGGCATGATAAAGGTCCCTCACTGCTACGGTTGTAAGTGCAATACATAGGTAGTAAATTGAAGCCAATCACCCGCAAATGGTAACGTCTCTATATGAGTGAAAATTATCGAATGGGACGTTATGCAACATAATATCAATCAATTAATCGGTAACGTACATTTGTTGCACAGTTTTGTAGCCACTGCGTACAGGATGACACCTGGTTAGTAAATTTCATACATGGCTCGGCTTGGATTCCCAAGGTACTAAGTTCACTAACCAGTTATTATCCATTCTTTTTCACTACAAACCCACATGTATGTAACTAAAAATACAAATCTAACCACGTCATTTGATGTGATGTTTAATACAAAGCCTAGACGGGAGTATATGTTGAAGTCACAGAAAATGTTCAATACATCCTCATGACCGGTTTGTGATGCTAAAAATAGTGAAAATCTTCTATACAAACCCCACGACCTGTCTGTGATGTTCACCACGCTGTAGATGTTCAGCACCAGGTACCCGGATGGTAAACAGAGCAGATACGTGATTCCATTCAAGAGACATGTAAATTCTGACGGGTGAAATGCTCCGGTGACGAGGAATATAGCGATTAAAAGACCCAGATACAACGTCACAAAGGACACTGGAAAATCATCACTGATAGCTAAAAATAAAGTATTTAAAGTTTTTTACCCTCATAACATTTTTTTGTTATTCAAAATGTATTGAGAAGGAAGTAAAATCAGAAATCAGAAAATCGATTTCTTTCTCAATTTCTCTATGTACATCAGTAGTTAGAGCTATCCAGATTCAGAAATTTTGCTTCGTTTCAGAAAATATGAATGTCTAGAAACAAAAAAAGGACTTTGCAAGGTTGCATGATAGACTAAACAGTTTGTTTTTAGCTTGATAAAGAAAATATACACCGAGGTCGTTGTTTACAAATTGTACTGAAACCATATGGTACCTCCTGGCACAACAGTGGGTTCTACAGTAACAGTTTTGTTGTCCTTAGTTTCGACCTTGACCTTGTCATTAAAACCAATCATGTCCTCAGCCACCTGCTCTGCTATCCCGACCACGACCGCTGTCATAACAACCGCGTACAGGAAAGTAATGATCTTACCAGACTGTAACAAACGACATTTAATCAAATACAAATATTAAAAAATCAATAAAGGCTTTTTTACCTTCAAGGAGTATATGGAGCCTCTTAAGATTTAAAAGCAATTTATCAATGTCCAAAATCTCTGTTTTTATTCTGAAAAGTTTCAATAATTATTTTAAACAAAGGGACAAAAGAAAATAAATATATTCTTAGAATTCATAACAACCTCCTTCTTATCTACAAACTGAGACAATGAAAATATCTACCTGCATTTGCCATCTTTCATTCTTAAACAGACAAATTAGGGCATAAATCACACAGACTGCGATTTGTAGTACCACCGCCCAAACCACGTCAAAATTCCATGCGTAATTCAAGCCACCTTAATAGAAAAAGAACACATGCATATTTTGTTTATAAACCTTGAAGACCGTTCTATTTACCAAAAAGTTAAAAGATAAACAATAATCTGCATGCAACGCAGCATTTCTTAATAAATATAATATCTAAAAATAATGAGAGGGTAGGAACCTGTGAATGAAGGCAAAATATAAAGATGAAGTTCATGATGATGGTAATGTTTTTGATTATGAGACTTGATGACGTTGCCAATATCAAATGATGAAAATACATGTAAGTCATTTCATTCATCCAATTATAGCCTGAAATTCTGTCAAATTCAATCTGAAAAGAAATATTTTTGTGGGTTTAGATGAAATGAAATCGAAATTTAAGAAATTCGTGAAGAATTTTAAAGAGGCACCCTTTTATGATCCTAATCAAAGCAGGGCGTAAAAAATCAAAATGTCATCATGTATGTTAATACTTTAACAATGATGTTGATAAACATCTAGATGTTAAATTAATTATCATTTATTTAAAGAATGCTTTTAAGTTTTGTGTGCGTTTTTGACGTGTAAATCACACAGACTTGTGTCTGCGCTTCATGAAAAATATACCTACGTGCAAGTCTGTGTGATTTACACACCAATAATTCACACTAAACTTAAAAACATTCCTTATATTTATATTTTACATGTTCAAAAGCACCATAAATATACTCAATGTTTGAATTTCTCGCTGCCCTATATCGTCATTTTTTTATTAACGTCTCTGTAGTTCATTGTGACGTCTCTGTAGTTCATTGTGACGTCACTTTAGCGCGAGTTTCTCCGTGCATATTTCTACGCGTGAGCATACACGAAAGTGACATTCAAATCAATTTCACAGTTGGCTTAGTAGAAAAACAGCAAATGTAAATATATGAAAGTAAAGATGATGATGTATTTTGTTGAAGAGGATGTTGAATGATCATGCAGTAAATGGAAATGTTACTAATTAAAATCATGGTGATGATATTTTTGATTAATTTATACTGACATACCGGCTACTATAATGATGACATGGTGATGATATTTTTGATTATTTAATACTGACATACCAGCTACTATAATGATGACAGTACTGGGTCCTATGAATGTCGAAGTAAGGAGGAATATCTGATAGATACAAAAGAGATAGGACACGCGGTGGTTCAGTAAACGAATCAGGTTCCATTCTTTGATTAGAGAGATAATGTTAGCTAGGGTAGAGGCGATCCACCTCCTTCTCTGTTTATAAAACTCCTCAAACTCCTCAGGGCAGTAGGTTTCATTCTCTGAAGCTGCGCAGTACTCGATCCGCCAACCACTCTGCACCTAAAATACTCATCAAAATTATAGATCCGTCACCCACTTAGTACCTAAAATATACATCAAAATTCGAGATCCGCCACCCATTTTGTACATGATATACACATCAAAATTATGCATCCGCCACCCACTCTGTACGTAAAATACAAATCAAAATTTTAGACCCCCCTCCTTATAGATTCGAGCACCTTAGCAGATATCGCTTAAAACAATGTCGCTCAATACTTGGACCAATACACAAAATACTTTCGAATACACATTAAATTATTTAGTTTGCAATAAGATTCGAAAACTCTTCAAAATAATACTTCTGTGTGTAATTTTCTAGCCCGAACATGTAAACATATTTTTTTTTGTATCTAAATGTACAGGAAGGCAGGCTAAGCAGTGTCCCATATATGTAACTCTTACCATAAGTGTACACAACCATCGATCCTCTCCCATATCTTTGATGAGGAAATCAAATGCTCTCTCTACACTAGACGCGTAAGTGGGAACTACAGTCCCTGAAACGTTCTACTTTCCCATTTTTCCGTTCGCTCACCGTTCGTTCACCGTTCGTTCAGCGTGCGTTCACCGTTCGTTCACCGTGCGTTCACCGTTCGCTCTCCGTTCACAGTTTTGCGTTCACCGTTCACCGTGCGCTCGCGTTCACCGTTCACAAAGCGTTCAGCGTTCGCTCTTCGTTCCGTTCACTTTGCGTTCACCTTGCGTTCAGCGTTTACCTATCGTTCAGTTTTCATTGTCATTCGGAACTCCGAAGTGAAAGGACTTATCTTTTTGTAGTTAAGGAATTACAGGTTTTTTTTTTAATTCATTAACTAACATATCGTGCTTGAAGAATCATTATTTCATAATGAAAAATATCTACGATATATATTTTTATTATTCTAACTTAACTGTTAGGTTATTTATTAAATTACTCTGGAAAATAAATGTTGTTACAAAATATAATTGAACTAGTTCTGAGAGTTATACATAGTACTGCGGATATCCTGTTAATTTATTATCTTTAGAACGAATTAAATTGATAGTGTGGTTAAAGGAAATATTTATTTAAAATGTAATGCACTACAGAATTTCTCTACTGTAATATGTAAAGTCTATAGTTATACAGAAAAAAAATCTTTCTTCACCGTAACTTTATATGTTTGCCATTCGATATGATTAATACCCCCCCCCCCCTTTCCTTCTAAATCGGTGACTTAGTCAGTACCGTATTTCCAGAATATTTTAATTAACATTTGAAAAAAAGCTACGGTCTTTTTAGAACAAAAATTTCAATCTCAAAACGAACATGCATCTAAAAAAAGTCACAAAACAATAGTAGATCAAAATGTAAACGTGTCAGCGGTGGTATTTGAAATTGGCAGAGAGTATGTTTCACATTCAAGTGTTAATGCCCAATGTATTTTACTAATTTATTATTCAAATGTTGGAATCAAATCTAGAAATGATAAAAATAAATGCTATAACTTGTTGGAAATACTCGCACTTCGTCTTCGATGTGACGAAACTTTCACACCTGCACAGTGTCGAATGATTTTGATTGACAGGACAAGCACGTGGACTTCGTGTGAACTTGAAGCAGGAAAATAAAAACGAGTATGACTGTCAAACAAATGGATATGATTTGTTGATTAAAAAAAAAAGTTACTTTCACTGTCTGATATATTTAGAAAAAAATTTCAGAGTTTTTGTTTGATATAGGTACAAACATTTGGTGAAGCCTGAAAGGAGGGGGGGGCTAAAACTGAATATTACTCTCTCTCTCTTTCTCTCTCTCTCTCTCATTTGTCTGTTTAATAAAAACTATAACACCATATTACTTAAATATCAAGTTCTGAAAATTGAATTTATAACAAATAATATGAATATGTATCTTTGTGTCATCTTGTCCGAGTATAATCACGGCCATCTAGAGATACATGTAGACGTCTGCTCAATAAATCATAATGAAAAATAGAAATGACACATAATATATTATTGTATCAAAAATTTAAAATACGAGCGTATAAATGTAATTAATTTTTTTTTTCCATTACTTTACACGAAATCGCCTTGACACGGAGATATATATATGAATACAAGTTTCAACCGCTTTAATTCATTCTATAAATCATAAGTTTTCTCTGATTTGTTATCAACTAAGAATAAACATTTTTAGTTTCTAACTAAAAACAATATCTTTTATACTTCAGCGTTCGACAATTGCAATGTTATAATGCGATAAAAATCGTGTGATTAAAAACTTTATGAGCATGCATCGTCTTTCTTAGGACAATTTTGGAGAATTTATTTTATTGACTTATTTATTCATTCATTTATTTGTTTACTTATTTATTATTTGTTTTTTTTATTGGCACCTGACATTATAATACAATAAAAAAGTTTCAATACAAGGAAAAGATCAGAGGCATTCCGAATATATCGTTCATCTTGCGTTCACCGTTCGTTCACCGTTCACTTTGCGTTCGCGTTTGCGCTCCGTTCGCGTTCTGCGTTCGCTCACCGTTCACCGTTCACACATCGTTCACCAAGTTGCGTTCAGCGTTCACACATCGTTCACTCACCGTTCGCTCTGCGTTCGTTCAGCGTTCGTTCACCGTTCGTTCAGCGTTCGCTCACCGTTCAAGTGGGAAAGTAGAACGTTTCAGGGACTGTATGTCCTTAATGGCGGAACATCGATAGACGCTGAAACAGCCAGGGGCACAAAGAACGGACCCTAAAACGTGTTCAGCGGCCTAAAATATCATTAGACCAAAGATCCTTCAACGTTATCAACAATAAAACAATTCAGCAAATGAAAATAATACTAGTGTTGTTCAAATAATTAATGGTTGTAACGCGTTTAGTGTATTTGATTGGATAAAAAATGCCCTGTGATTCCTATGTAATAATCTGACTTGTGACAAAAATGTATTAATCCGCCTAAATTGTTTTGTTATAGTAGAAAATATAAAAACAAGAAATGAATTTAAAAGCAATCCAATTAACAGAAGAACAATATGGGTAAGTACATTTATTTTTTTCATAAATATAAACCACCGTGTAGTTTTCAAAATATAATCTGCCCCAACCATGGTTATTCTCCCAAAACTGTGGCAGCTTTTATATTTCTCCCTTTATTGGACAACGTAGAGAATACAAAAAAGAGAAGAAGAAGAAAACATAAAGTTTATATGATAAAGTAAGGCTGGAATGGGTTTCTAATATGATAACTAAATTTTCATGTACAGAAAAACACCTTTTGAAACCAATGTCCAATGGCATATTCGAATTTTTGATACCACACAAGCGGCCCTTCTCCTAGTGGATAGGTGCGCGCGCATACAGCTCCGACAGAAGAGTCCCGTTTCATCAGGTCAAGCAAAGCCTCGACGGATTCCGGTGTAAACTTGACGTCAGCATCCGTTGTTAGAATGTAGCAGTCTGACTCGCTTACTGAAAACAAAACATTTACGACAGGTCTGTTAAATGATTCATGTTGACTGAGAGTAGAAGGTTAATTGTTCATGGTAAGTCATATGCTGAGTAATAGGGTTAAGAATTTCAAAATTTTATTATCATGAGCAAACTTTAGCTTGTGGCAAAACTTGACTAGCAAATCTGATCTGATTTAGCATTTTTAGAGATTGTTTAATAATAGTAGATTAAAACTCGAGTCCAATGCACTAAAAACCAGCAGGTGAACATTATGATTCTCCCTTACATATACAAGCAATTTATTAACAGATTTAATTCTGCCTCTTGTTTCATCTCTCTATCCACTTTTTTTATTAATAGGACCAAAAATTTACCCATTATATTTCTTATTCGTGTGTTTAATTATAGTAAAGCAAATTACCCATAGGATTTTTATCTCTACCAATCTCCGCCTAGTATAACATTCATAGGACAGCTTCTTACTTGAAGGATTAACGCTTATATTTTTTTTTAAATTTACAGATATGGGGAAAAACGGTAGGATTTTCTTCTCTAGCCATGTTTTTCTTATTTAAGGCACACTTACCTGTAGGATTTCCCTCTCTGTCTACGTGTTGTTTATTTATAGTACATCACACTTACTTGTAGGATTTCCTTCTCTGTCTACGTGTTATTTATTTATAGGACATCACACTTACCCGTAGGACTACCCTCCCTGTCTACGTATTGTCTATTTATAGGACATCACACTTACCTGTAGGATTACCCTCTCTATCTACGTGTTGTTTACTGAGAAAATCCAGTACATATGACATGTACATAATCTGACTCCATCGCTTCTTCTTTTTTACCTAAAAACAAACAACTTTTAAGTCGACAGAAACTTAGGCTCTGAGAATCATTTTACAAAGATTTTAGTTTACTTTTATATAAGCTTCAAGAACATTTCTGGAGTGATAATGAAAGTAAAAAAATAATATAAAATATAAACATACATAGTAATAATATCAAATGCGCATAATCATTTATAAACTATATTATAATATAGTAATTATTAAAAACACCCGAATGTAAGAGAAATACTATCATATTATTTACTCGTTCAAGGTAAGCCAAGTATTATTTTTTGTCTCAAACCGCAAAGAAAGACAAACAGAATACTCCATCAATTGTCCCAAAAATATCAACTAGCCAGACAGACAGATGCCAGAAACATCGACATAGCATCATAATGCATTGAAGAGAACAAACAGCTACAGAAAACTTACTTTCAATTATAATAAAATGATAAAATACCTCGTGAGAAGAACGATTTCAAAATCTTTGAATTATGTCTTCTTTACGAAACTTTTGCTTACTTTTTTTGGATCTTTCATATGAATGGTGAAGGTCATTTCAGACGGCCCCGGTAGTTTCCAGCCGAGCTTTAGTCCGTAAGGTGTCGCTGTCTTCGTACAGGTCAGAAGGTTATCGATATCTACCAACAGAAAAAGGAAAGTCTTATGAACATATTTTGAAAATAGGGTCCCCAATATACTGTGAAGCATTTAGCTTTGTTTAGATAGAATATCTTCATTTTAGAATCATTCCAGCACCCTCCCCTCTCCTTCTCTATTCATCTCTCTTTCTCTTAGTCCGTTTTGCAATAGACTGGCGAGTCGTAGGGCTTAGTGCGTCATTTCGTCCCCTTTGATCTCTCTCTCTCACTCTCTTACTTAGTGCGTCTTTCAACAGGCGGCGTGGTGCGTCATTTCGATCCCTTTAATTTCTCTCTCTCTCTCTCTCTTACTTAGTGCGTCCTTCAGTAGACTGACTAGTTGTAGAGCGTAGTCTGTCATCTCTCTCTCTCTCTCTCTCTCTCTTAGTGCGTCCTTCAGTAGACTGACTAGCTGTAGAGGCTAGTCTGTCATCTCTATCTCTCTCTCTTGCTTAGTGCGTCCTTCAGTAAGCTGACTAATTGTAGAGCGTAGTCTGTCATCGCTCTCTCTCTCTCTCTTACTTAGTGCGTCCTTCAGTAGACTGACTAGTTGTAAGGCGTAGTCCGTCATCTCGTCCCCTTTGATGGCCCCATCCAGGAAGACGTGAGATTCGAAGTGAATCTGTGACCTGTCTGACGTAGCCTGGCTGATCTTCCCTATTGACTCCAAAAGTTGTTGCATTTCTTTTCGACTCTATAAAAATCAAAGTACTGAAAGTACCTAAAGCTGTGCAATTTAGTAATGTGATGCCAACTTCAGGTTAAGGATCAACAGAGAAGAAAAAAGACTTTTTCCACAGCTATTTCATTTTAGTACACAAACAAGTAAAAAAGGCATTCCGTTTTTGTTTTTGTTTTTTTTTTGTTTTGTTTTTTTTTTTTGTTTTTGAATCTTTTTTTGGTTGAGTTTTTCAAAATACAAGAGCCATTACTGCACTAAAAACGAACATGCATATCACAAGAATTACAAATATTTAATATTGAAATGAATGTCCTTTTATCCTAGAAGGGGGACTTTAAAAATCAGTGTTTTCTTTAAAAAAAATTTAAAAAATAAAAAATTTTAAAAAACCCTACTCTCTGCCTGTTCTTAACCTTTACACAACCTCAAAATTCGACTAAAAACCGCAGTTATATCGGGAAATGTTTGATTAAGTCCAATTCTTGTGATATTTTCTTATATAAAGGACTCGCTTTTGTTCCAGCTCTCTGTTAATACTGTATATCTTTTTTTCTAATCGTACAATATGTATATTACTTTTCCATGATACTTTAAAGTGGAAACTTAAAGGTCTTGTTCTTTGAAAATAAGAAAGAAAAAATATCACGAAAATGCATAACGGCCACAAAAGTTGTGATGTACGTAAATAAATAGCCCTACCTCTCTATACATGGTTGTACATATATAAACTCGCGTTTTCTCGCAATTTCTCGTTGATGTCTCGCTGGTATCCACTTCTGAGTCATCGTTGAGTTTCCGGTTAACCAGTAGCCATTGTTCTAACATAACACTGTTGTATGTCGGGTACCAAAACAACTGGAACAGATAACGTACGTGTTATGTCATGTACATACGGAAACAGCTGAACGTTCATGTCCACAATTAAAATCATATCTTCATTCTGTCTTTATTTTTCTAACTAATAGATTGAAAATTCAGATATTGGTCTACAGTTGCTATCAATAAAAACTTAATATTCTCGTTCGTTTTCTTTTCAGTCCTATTAAAATAGCAAAAGTCCAGCTGTAGATTTTATCTGTATCAGTTTTTACATCAATTACATTCATATATTAACACTCCTGACATAAAAGTGATTGTTTTTATATCAAACCTTTATTTGATTTTCCTATTTTCAATCGCATGAAGATATTTTAAACGAAAATGATGATTATATAGATGGTAATAGTATAATGGCGATGCTGTATATGGAACTATTAAATAAGATATCGACAAAGATAACCCAGAAGATAATGTTGATGATGATGATGTTGATGTTGTTGATGATGATGATGATGATGATGATGAAGATGATGATGATGATGATGATGATGATGATGTTGATGATGATGAGGTTCGTTGCTTTCTACCTGTGTCTCCTTTAGTAACACGATCTTCTTGATATTCCACAACAGTCGTCCAAATGTGAGAGAAATCGCTATAAAAAAGCACACCATCGCCAGTATACTATATATCAGATAATTTTCTTTAACACAGAAATCTTGGGAATGACCCGAGAAGCCCTTAATCCAGTCACATGATACCGGAACAGAAAGTAAGACAGATGATACAGGGGACGATAACAGCAGAGGTATCACGAAGGCCCCACGATCCATGCAGGTGTGACAGGCAAATACTGCGGTAACGTATCCCACAATGCTTGTTGTAGCGTTGACTATAAATAGAATAAAAACTTCATCAGATGGACTCCAATTCCATCCCTGTGTCCAGCTGTCATCAAAGTTGAAATCGTCCATTGCAAACTTTAGAAGTAAGGCACTCGTAGCTAAAATGAAGACTATTCGTGAAAAGGCAGATATAAGCAGAACCTTCCATGCTGACGTCTTATCTACAGGAAGGTCGTTAGATAAGTCGGGCTCGACATTTCTGTTATTGCCAATGTTACTTGCCATTGAACTGTATGAAGTAAAGTCCGAACCCGATGATATACCTTGAAGAGATGCAGATGAATTTGTTCGATTGATAGAGCTGAGCGAAAAATTTTGAGTATTGGTATTAGTATGAGAGTGAATTGGGGTCTGCACATGAGGAAACATTTTCTTATTTAAGTACGGGAACCATGATAAAAATATAAGAACATAACCGCCGAGAGACCACACTGTATCCGATGCCTTGCTAACATGTGTCAGAATAACAAGGGACACACCACCAATGGCGAATAAAACAGCAAGAAAAGACAGCGAGCGAAAGAATCTGATTTGACGATTGCCCTTTTTCATGTAGTAGAAGATAGGGATTATGATTCCAATTTCCATCGCACTGACTCCGGAAGCTGTCTGTCCAGTGTTAAAAGCCTTAAAGATCACAATACATGATCCAACGGATTCCAAGGCCGCCGATGTGACACCCTAGAGGACGAGAAAAAAAGAAGAGTGAATGATGTTCATTCTTTTAGTTTTATTCCAAATAGATATTTCAAGACATTTTCTACCACATTAGATCATTACTGAGTTTGATACTAGTCACTAGTTGTGTCTGATACTAGTCACTAGTTGTGTCTGATACTAGTCATTAGTTGTATTTGTTTATTTCATACTTCTGAATGAATACCAATATTTTGTTGGACAGGCCATCTCTCTTGGACATTATCCCATGCTTTAAGGCTCAGGTTACATAGTTTACAGTAAACCTTGCTTATAAGGTTTCAATTCCTTACATCTACATGAATTTTATGTTCACATAAAAGAATCAAACTCATATTGAACGTGGGAAAGACGAATATTTTATTTAATTTTTTTAATGAAGATGAACATGATGAAATGATTATAAATCCGACCACAAGACTTGCCGGGCAAATATACATACACCATTTTAAAAGGGTAATTAATACGTTCTATTTCCGTTAGTGAACCCCTCAAAATTAGAGGCGCGTTTGGTCGTCTGACCAGGACAGCATGGCGTTGCGGATAATACAAAACATGCCAATCTCAATCCAATTTTAAATGTTAAATGTATTTGTCATTCCAATTAAAGAATAGAAGAACTAAAGGACATATTTAAGAGAGCGAGAACCCTAGCTTTATCATCCATTAATGAAAAATACGACATTTCCGAGGCATGTGTATTGTATTTAGATGTACCATACGATAAATAGATACACACGATCAACAATACATATAAATTGATATCGTTGTCATTCCTACTCTTGATGTATATAAAGTCCACAACAATAAACATTTCATTTGCATTTTCTTAGGAATTGTTCATCAACATTCAATATATTGTTTACATGTTTATGTTACGTTTGTCCCAGAAATCCCGCAAGATTTGTACATTTTCCGACTTTTTCACAAAAGAGCGCACTAAGAAGTATAACTCTTCCATAGTGGAAATAGAACGTATTGTTTAAATGTTTTTGGCTAACGACTTTTATCACGTGATCAAATCCTGTGAAGGTCAACCTAAGTAAGTATGATGACACACCAGGAAAATTCACATTTTCACTGCATTCCCTTAATGAACATTTACAGGGATAAGTATCCAAATATATCCTTGTATACTTTGTGACAATCTTGGACGCAGAATAGTTAATAGAGAAACTCTTTCCCACAAAAGCCGTTTGAAATTTAATTACAGTACACTGTATCTGCAATGGGGAGCTATTCACATTTTCAGAAAACAATATTTTCTTTGATGTTTTGGACACAATGATAATGACTTTTTTTTTTATAAAATCAAATCATTTATCTTTAGTTCTGTACTCCTCTTAACAATTAACTGGACGGGTGTAAGTTGGACGAATTTTGAAATTCTAATCTTTGGGCTGATTTGACAAGGACCTAAAATGTACAATATAGATCCTAATTTCGTAGAAGCAGGAGTTGATAATTATAATTTATTTTTTTAGGTGACATTTGACTACACTATTTTTTATCATTTTAAATATTTCTTTCTTATATGTATTATTACGAAATAGAATAGATACCATTTGCTTGTATACATTAGACTTGTTCTAATTAACTACGGTATATCTACTGTATGCTTCCTAACATGTATATAAAATTGTACTTTTTTATCCTATAATTGTGGCAATCACCTAAATGTTAGCAGAACGTACATTAAGAAAAACTAGAACTCCTTACCAGAGCTATAACTTTCTTGTTTGGCCACGGAATGTCACTCCGACCAATAATATTCCACAGAGACCTCAGAACAGATAGCACATTTGGCGCCAAAAGTATAATTAGACACATAGTGAAGGCCTGATACTGAGCAGCACTGTTGTTACTAAGATGCTGAGCTAGACCAATCACAGTTAGTTTACTGGTCACGAGACAGGATAACAAGACCGCAGCAAATGTTAAAGTTGTAAGCCATTTGAGGATTACAACTATTCTGGACGGTCCCTGTGATTGAATGCCTTTTTTGGTACTTCTCTCAATTTTTGACTCTTTTTTCACGCTGAGGTAGGAAAGGTCAACCTCGATCGTCTCTTTTGGATGTGTTTCTTCGGGTGACGTCATACTGTACTGCCCGCCGTGCTCAGTCCTCTCATCGACTGGGGGAAGGGAACTAGAGTATTTCAAAACCGCTGAACCAGTCTAAAAAAAAAAGAATATTGATATTCTACTCCTAAATATGAATGTTTTAAATGAATCTATTATCTACTGGTTAAGACTTTATCTGGAGTAAGAAATATAATATAACCTAAGAAACGTTGTAATGTTTGCTACAAAAAGATCTACGCAAGAATTTCATACTTTATTTTATATTTCAGGGACTACAAGAGATGATTTTCATGTACATTGTTTTGTTGTTTTGTTTTTGTTTTTTCTAATCGCAGACTTTGTGCACACATGTAACATTTGTACATTACACAATTACACAGTGTTTATATATATATATATATATATATATATATATATATATATATATATATATATATATATATATATATATATATATATATATATATATATATACTTTGCAATGTGAAATCATTTGCTTCATTAGAAGGGGTGATCCTGAAATTATGATTGGTATGGGAAATGGAGTATTTCATTTTTAGCACCCAACAGGACAGAATGTTTATTTCCATGATGATCATACAATATTTATTTCACTGAAATATGTTTACCCCCCCCCCCCCTTCCCAGCCCCATTTATAAAGTGTTAGAGTTAGGTACGACCTGTCCCTATCATAATCTTAATTCTTTCGTGCCAAGAGGCACACAAGGCCGGTACCACTTGTGGAGGTCATTTCATTGCCAGTAGATGACATTTTACTTTTTTAAAACATTTTTCAAGACAAGATTATTTATTTCCAAAATCGGCTAACCTCATGTCAATACACCTTATATTCAAATGGTCGTCCCGGATATAATTGTTGTAGATAAAGCCAAGAATTCGATAAAAAAAAATCCTTTACATATTAAACTGACTAAAAACAATTTACATGTTCTTAAGTCCGATTTAATGGTAAATTAGTATATTCCTAATTTCTTTAAATGCATTTTTGGGGGGCAGAAACCAGGACAATTCAATGCAAGAAATTCCAGATCTTTAGAATATATCTAAGAAAACAGAACTCAACGTAAAGAAAAAGGTGTTTTATTATTATCTTTATTTTTTATTTATGCATTTATTTTATAATTTATCAATTTATAATTTTATGGATAAAATATTTTTTTTACTTATTTATTTGTTGATATTTTTTTAATAAAGCTTCTTGTGACCCCCTTTTTGTCCAAATAATCAATGATCTGTTTAATCCTTTTGTTTGCTTGTTTGGTTTTGTTTTTGTTTTTTCCTATCAATTTGAACATTAATACATTTCTTTTCAAGACTGAATTCGAATACTTTTTATAAAGCAATTTAATTTGTTACCACTACGTACACATTTTAAATGTGAGATAAAAACAAAATATAAGATAATATAAGAATAAGATACACTGTACGTAAATTTAGAATATGCATAAATGATCCCAAAGGGTAAAATAAAAATATATATATATATATCAAAATAAGTTTTTATTGCAGTTTAGCACATTGAAATTTTTCCTTTAGGAGTTACAGTTCAATTGATTTTTTTCTCTCTTCTCTCTATCTACATATAACTTAAACAAACATTACTCATATATATTATATTTCAACAAGGTAAATTGAAAGTTTCCCCTGGATCTGAGTCAATTATTTAAAAATATGCATTCATACTCAGATAATTACATTCAATGACGGAAGTTATGTATGAATTCAGAGGACTGGGTGTCTATATGTATAAGTAGTTATAGTATATGATTATAAGTATAGCATGATTAAATCTCACATTAAATTTATTCTTAAAGCTTACGTAAATCAATGTAAAAATTTGAAACAAAAAGTAAAAAAAAAAATGATATATACATCGCTAACTTTATTCTATTAGAAAATTGACCAAGGGAGAAGGTTTCAGTTATGTAAAAAATAGGTATCTCCCCACTTTAATTCATATATTTTTAATTTTAATTCACATATTTTTAATTGAAAATTTTAATTAATTAAAGGTTGAAGTGAATCTGATTCTGTAATTCCTCCTCCATCCCTCAAAAAGAGATTCTGAGTTCTATCCCCTCGATATCCCTACTCCCCATAAAATAAGAGAGCGTCCATCAAAATAAAATTAACTAATTCTTCAAATCATTTTAGTAAATGTACGGAGAAAAATTAATTTTATTTCACTGCAATATCGATACAAATTTGATAGTTCGTATACATTATCCTCATAGTGTGGTCTCAAATTGAGAGAGAGAAAAATTAAAAGAAAAAATATAATGAAAGACTTCAAGTGAATTATTGAAAGAATATATTTAAACGCCGCTTAATGGTAAGGTCTGTAAGTGAAATATACACTCATAGGTAAAAAGAAAGTAAACAAAATATTTCTATTTCTATTTAAAGAAAAAATTACCTGTATATGTTTTAGATCTACTCATTTATAAGTTATGCTTTGCAAATCCATACCTATACTCTTCATATTTATGATTTTAAAATTTAATCCTTGTACCCCGTATTAATTAAAAATTATTCTAACCAATGAAAATGATGAAATGATAAAAATAAATATTTACCGATGGATAAGATCCCCGGCCTTGGTCCATGTTAACCGCTGTCTGATTTGTGAGCTTTAAATGCGGAAGTTTTTTAAGTTATCGATAAAACGTTATAGTTCACAAAGGTTTAGCTACAGGCCAGATACGTACGAAAGTCAAGTTTACTTCAAAAAAGTCATAGTCCACCCTTTAATTTATGTTAATAACGACTGCCGCTACTTCACGGTGAATTTGTAGATATCTATACTACTATAATGTACCTGGTTAATTATCACATGCTTTTGATCCATTGTCTCAATTATATACATCCAAAGACAAGAACAGTTCTTCCTCCAGCAGGAACCATTAGGACGTCATAATCGGCTAGGTTTGGTCAGTGCCACTCAATGAAGACTTAACCTGTACCACACCGAGTTAATTTCGTCTCAATCCGCTGTCAGGTACAGATGCACCTCGATGTGCATCACCTCTCGCACGAGACATTTAAATGTCCCCTTTATCTCGATATGCGGATAAGAGTTTACTGGCTTAGGATATATCTTTAATTTCTTGTTTGTATTTAGATTGATTATCTCTGTCTACGGCGGATCTAATAATTACAGGTGTAAAACGTTGTAAATATGTTTTCAAAAAATGTCAACGTCGACCTAGCCCGAAAAAGGAAGGAAAAATGAACAAGGTAAGCAATTCCGATGTATAAAATCTTTAATGTAGCGACAGTAATCAAACAATCTATTAAAACCTATGGCGGATCATTATTTGCGTCAGTTCTTGAGATTTAATTTTAGTAACTGAATACCCCCCCCCCCTTTCCGGTTAAATCGCATTCTAAACTTGACAATTTAACCTTTTCTGTATGCTGGTAAATATCTAATATTTAAATCTGCATGTAACATAACGAGTTGGCTAATTATAATTATAATTATAATCACGTATACTATAAATAAACTAGACATATACATTAAACTCTAACAGTGAACTTGTAAACAATAGAATTATCATCATATTGTTTATTATTACATTATCTATATTATCAATTATCAGATAGCAAAGAGACATATCGCTAATATTTTAAAATTTATTCTGTGCTTTGTATTTTTTATGCAAGAGAGGCTACAAAGCCCACACTATACAAATTGCTATTGATGAAATGGCAGGGTACTAGGGTCGTCCAATAAGTAATTCAACATATTGTTTATCATAATAAATGTAGAAGCAATTAGTTTTATTTTTTTTTACAGTCGAGAAGTACTATTTAAAATCTCACAATCACCAAAAACCGCATGCTTTTTCCTACTCTCAAAGAAATTAATTTTTTAAAGTAAGCATAGTCACTACAATGAGTCGAAAACTGTTTAAAAATGGTCTCCTAAAAGAAGATGAAAATGAGGGGATATGTAAAATCTGCGATTCGTTACAAAAATCGCTGAATATGAAAGATATAGTTTTGATTCCATTGGTGACCAAAAGTTGTTGCACATAGGCCAGACTTTAGAGGACAAAGTACACGTGTGTAATGGGATTGTTGATTTAGTTCTGAATTAAACTGATTTTAATTTGACACCAGAGCCGGTTACGACAGCGAATGTTTTACAGCAGTTGTATCTATATTCAAGCAATCAGAAGTTGAGAGAGACATTGTAAACCTGTTAAATTATGCCGAGAATATAAATACATGAAAAAATAAGAGTGGGCGTCTGAAAACTTTCTAGGAATAACGATCCAACATCTGAAATTACAAAATTTTACCAAAATCAAAAGCATAAAAACTTTCGACATATCAACTCTATATACAACCATTTCCCATGATAAAGTAAGGTCCTGGCGTTTTGACATCATAGACAGCTGCTTTTTCAATAAAAATGCAACTCGTAAATTAATGTACCTTGTCAATGATCATTTGCAAAATAATGTTGTTAAAAAACATTGTACATTGTACACACAAGTACTTTGAAGTTGATATTAAAAATCTGCTCGAGTTTCTTCTGATTGGCAATATCTTTGTGTTTTTTTGTGGTTTTTTTGGAGATCAGGTCTTTCATCAATCTGTTGGAATTGCCATGGGTACCAATTGCGCCCCGTTATTAGCACACTTATTTTTGTATTTATATGAAGCAGAATTTATTCGAAATCTAAAACAAGAGAAGAAAAAAAACTTGCTGTGCCCTTCAACTCGACATATATATATATATATATATATATATATATATATATATATATATATATATATATATATATATATATATATATATATATATATATATATCGACGACGTATTATCAATGAACAATAGTTACTGCCATTCACCCCACCTACCGGTCACACCCACCGTCTGCTCCTTGTTATGGTGTTCATACGTAGAGCATGCTCTTGTGTATCGGATCATCTGAGAGATATAAACCCCGTATGCAGGTGATAAGATATATTGCTGCATAAGCAAGGGAAGTTGACGATTGAAAAGATAAAGTCATCACGTTTATCATAAAGCTTTGTCGTTAGGTTACAATTAACGTCTTTTTCTAGTAAAATATCCATTTGGGCCCAACCTTCCGCCCCTTCGTACTTCGGCCCTACGATTTGTTGAATTTTAAGTGGTGATTTTTTTTTCTCAGTTCTACTTTGAGAAAATAATTTGAGAACAATATCAATTTAGAGATACCTGATATTTGTGTACCATAAGCGAGTAATCAAACAAAGGTAATCAGAGATTGCAGAGTTTACCTCAACGAATGTTGTCTTTAAGTAAGGCTAAGTCCCACACTAAACTAATAATCTAGTAATCTAAATGTGCATCCCTAGAAACAACATTTATCAATTCTGGTCGGATATGGCTTAGAGTTACATGTACTTGGGAATTGACTTATCTAAAAACTTTAAAATAGTCACTCATTCCGAAAATGCAAGTCAAATCCAGTATCTGAAGCAAGTTTGAGAGTGTTCATCCTTTGATGTATCATCCATGCAAGTTCGGTTCAGAAAGACCTTGGAGTTTATTGGTAATGGACCTGCTCCAAAAAATTTAATCAGGGCACTCATCCGGAAAATGTAAGTCATATCCTGCATCCGCAGCAAGTCCAGTTGTGTGCATCCTTAGATATATCATCCATGCAAGTTTGGTAAATGTAGGGCTTATAGTTACTTGGAAATGAGATCTGCTCCAGAAATTTTAACCTGGTCCCACCGACGCCGACGCCGAGGGTATTACATTTATTAAGCTCCCCCAACTTCGTTGAGGTGAGCTAAAAATAGCAGTCATATTTATCATATTTTCAACATCAGGATCCATGTGCAGCGATCTAGTGAGGTGATGGTGCCAGTATATACTACACAATAGTAATTAAAGCAGTTTCCGATTATGCTCCTTCAATAACTTTGCCGGTAAATACTTAAGAAATGAAATCGAGGCTAATTTATCGTTGTGCCCCCTCAACAGTATGTCTAATTTCTAAGGGGGGTGTCAAGAAATTACTGCCCCCCCCCCCCAATGAAATTGCTTCCTTCAAACCTGAAAATGAGAGAAAACAAGCAAGAATGATATCACATGGTTTTTTAAATTTAAAAAAAATCATGCTCCAGGGAATATTTCTACGTTTCGTAGACTGTTCGCGCAGGGTATCTTTGTCCACGTACACGTACACCGTAGCGCCCTTTTCGATTTAATTTCATCCGGATTCCTTAATCTAAATTTCTTAGTCCTACTTTCTAATTCAAAGTTTCGTTTCTGTTATAGTTGTAACCAAAAAAAAAAAAAGAAAAAAAGAATTAATTTATTTAGTGAAACATACTTTAAAATTTAAGATTTAAGATAGAATCAAAATACCAAATGAAGCCAAATTCTAAAAGTAAAATAAAGAAAATAAAATAAAATTGGAAAATATAAACAAGACGTTAGAATAAATTAAGAAAAAAATATAGAATTTATTTAAATTGGAAAACAAGAAGCTAGAATAAAAAAGAAAAAAAGAACATCTAAAAAAGAATTATGACATTGATGCCCCTCCATAGTTCCTCTATCAAAATTCGACAAACGTGTAGACTTTACATTTGCAGACATGTGAACTGTCTTCGTGTTTTATCCAGAGTGCAGCAATTTGAATAATGGAAAACAAAGTTTAAAGCATCACAAATACACACATTTATAGTATAAACTCAAAGTAAACACACTGAAATTGATATACGATTGCAAGTTTGGATTTACAATCTTACAAGTCCGGATTTTAGAACACGATTACCCTCCATACAAAACATGTCATATTCAACATTTTTTTTTCAAAGAAAATGCATGCCTCCCTTTAGCCACATACCTTATATAGCTCCACTTTACTCCATTTTAGTGTTTCGGCTGTGTGATACACGGTTAATGAGTTTTAAATACGCCATCATCATGGGCCTATTTGCACAACAATTATTAGTCCGGAACATTACTTACATTCTTACTGCGTTCATTGCTAGTGCTAGCAACTAAGATAGTCTTTTCTATTGGAATAATCATGCTCGATTTAATTTGCAGTAGGACATCTTGAACTAGATACCATATATAAGTTTCTTATAATCATCTGAACAATAATAATAACTGAAGCGTTGTGTTTTGTTGTAAACACAATTGCATCTTCTTGAGCCCTTTCGACAAGCTCATAAAAAACACCTCGACTATATTTACATCACAGGATGTTAAAATTAAAAAAAAAAAATACATTGGCGTCCAAGACACCCTCCCCCTTCTCATAAATTGAATTAAATATAGGGAGCATACAGCTTTACTTCATTGAATAAAAATAGAACTTAAATATTTTACAGAAAGAACAATTACAAAATGGAGTCGCTTCCTATTCATAAAAAGTAGGTAGTGTTGATAGTATAAAAAAAATCTCCGGGTAACAATATGTAGGGCTAAAAATCAAAGAAATGTATAGATTTGAAGAATTTATTACTAAATATCTTTCCATTACAAGAAACATTTCCATTTTTTACAGTAATATTGTTGATCAAAGCTTATCAAAATTTCGATGATTCCTAATTACATAGAATTAAAAAAAAGAATCCTCGTCAAAGAAAACAATTTGACGTGGAAACTTTGACGAACTTTTACAATCATTATCACTCTAAGTTTATACTTTATCTTGACATTTTTCACGTTTCTTGGCCTGGTCCAGTGCGGTCAGATTACTGCTATAATTAGCCTAGCAGGTGCCCCCTCTATCATATGTGACCATTCCGTCGGGAGGAACTATCTAACGACCAATACACACAGACATGTACCTCAGGACCTTACAGTTAATGGTGATCAGCATAATAATACATAATACACAAGGTAAGGGGTTCATTTCCTGGGGGTCAATTTGACGATTAACTAGTATTATCGGTAGGGGAAACTCTTATTTGTTGATAGATTTAAAAAATAAAAACTAGATATGTGAACTCTGAAAATTCAGAAAAAAAGAAATTGTATGTTGCGTCCATCCGAAATCATTTATAAACGTCGCAGTACGGAGCCAATGTCAGAAGTTAATAAAAATACTCTATTAAAGGGAAATCATAGAGAAACATAAAAATAATCAGTAGCATGTACCCCACCTCGACAACCTCAGAAATATACACAGTTCAATTAATATGAATATTTATACAATTTTTTCTCCAAACACAACAAATTAATATTTTTTTGAAAACAAGAAAAAATCAGCAATTTTCGGTTTAGAAGTAGAAACTTAAAAACTGCCGTATTTCTTGTTCAGGGAGACTTGTTTGAAGTTAGGTAAAACGAAAACATATTCTTATTTTGTTTATTTAATAAATATGTTATTTATGCAAATGACAAAACATTAATACAGAATTATGAGGGATGCGTCGCCATATGTACACATATATGATACGTTTTTTGTATTTCTCGCCGGCAATTGAAAAGTCAATTTTTACCAATGTTACTAAAGAATATTTTATAAAAAGATCTTTAATGCTTTAATTTCGCAAAAAAAATCTTGTTGTGCGCTCACTTTTTAGAGGTAGTTACGGTCATTTAAAGGGTTGTGTTAAAGATCTTCCATCGCCCGGTTTGCAAATTATCTCAGGTATCGATACGTCCCTAATGTCCTTGTATACCAAACAAACTAGACAGAGATTCACTAAATAGATTAAGTTGTCCCTACATACACGGAACAACCTTTATATGTCACAGACTGAAGTGTTTTCCGTTACTGAGTTTTTGATGTTATCTTTTAAATTTTCTTCTGTAAAATTCGGACACTTTCGAGCTTTTGATCCTTTGGAAGCAATTTCCGGTTTAAGCGAAAGTGAAAACGGGGTAACGTGTTCTGGTCAACATTTGCGTTCATCGATAATTATCTAAAATGTAAAAGATGATGAAGATTAAGAAGAGTGGTCGATCTCAAAAAATCTTTAAACAGTACAAATTTGTGAAGAACTCTTAAAACACGGATCCCTGGAAATTCCATAGGGATCAGGTGCCCAGGAGGAGTAAGTATCCCCTGTTGACTGGACACACCTGCCGTGATGACTCCCAATGGATCGATTAGATTTTTAGATTATTACTTAGTTATATAATGTATTTTATTGATCATAGGTTACTGATTTTATTGATTGAATGTTTTTGATTTTAGGTTATTGATTGTATTGATTTCAGGTTATACTCTATCCAGGCGTAGAAGATGTGCCCCTGTCAGTTTTATGTGTTTCAACATGAGATACGATTTCTCCACTGGCTGTTTTGTATGTGGAGGTAAGGGGAGAGAATAAAGTACAAAAAGTAAAACAAAAATTGAAATATCTGTAATATCCGGATATTTAGTATCTTTCTACATTTTCGGTTACTTCCTGTATGTTTATTCTATACATGGAGGGCGTATTATCAAGCTATCACTGTGGGTAGCACGTGACCTGTGTGTTTGTATATTGTTTAACGTTCCTCTCGAGAATTTTTCTTATATGGAGACGCCACCGCTTGCTGTTGGAGGGCTTCGAATTTCAACCTATGCTCGGCACTTAGGGCCATTGAGCAGTGAGGGATCTGTTTCGCGCCAACACCTACTGCGACACGGGACCTTGTTTTATACGGTCTTATCCGAAGGACTGGTCTCTACGTCACACAATGGATTCGAACCCTCGACGTAAGGATCAACTCCTTACTCTGCGACTCTAGAGCAGGCGCTCTAACCACTACGCCACATATTTTGTTACTCTTATAAGAACATTACGATATCATTAATGAATACATTTTTTACTTGTATTACACGTGCTTATTCATTATCTATTGACTTTACATTTTAGCAGGACTTCCTGTTTTATCTTTCTAGGCGGCGGTAACGATAACCAGCAGGCAACTACGACGACAGCCACTCCACAGTTCACCAACACCGTCAAAGGACAACAAAGTACACATTACATACAGATAGCAATTCAAAAAAGAGAAAATTTGTTTCTCAATCATTTATTACAAGGTCAAACGTCGAGGTCAAAAATCGAATTCAATGTCATTTTGATGGTTGTATTTAAATAATTGCAATTTATAGGACAACGTTAAGTAAGATGCTATAATATAATGAATCATCAAGACTAAATCTAAAGGAACGGAGGCATTTTCATCATTTATAAATACTGTAAACCAACTATTATTCGCGTCATCTTTTATTCGCGATTCGTCAGATTGAAATCAATCCACGATTATTAATTTTTGCGACTGGGGAAACATTCTGTACAAATAAAAAGAAAATAAATGATCTACGGCGATTAATATTTGCGAGTAAATGTAGGTCGCGGTACTCGCGGATATTTCTCGCACGCGAATAAAAGTTTGTTTACAGTAAGCAATTTTTGATCGGGATAGGGATCCAGATAATATTTTTTTCTTTTACCGACAGAATGTACAGACACGGCTGTTAACTGCCCACATTTCATGATTCAGTATGATAAAGATGGCTGTCCGTATTGTGGATCAGGCGGGCCAGGGTCAATGAATAATAATGGATGTGAGTTGAAGAATAATTTTATTTACTTCAAAGGTTATCATCTGGAAAAAAACACAACTGAAGTAAGGGGATAACAACGATCAAAAAAACTTTAGCTTTATAACAAATATGTATTGTGGAATCTTAGAAATGTAGAGTCGAGCCTAGTTAATCGGGACAATAGATATAAATGTATTTTAAGTTTTTTTTTTCCTTTCATTTTTTCCGGAAATGAAACATCCGGTATATTGGTGTCTGGATCGTTGTTCTACTGTATTTGGTAACGTAATTTATTTTCCTTACTTCACAAAGTTCTCAACCAGGGAGCCGAGACGAATTGCCTGACGTTTGCCGAATTAATGAAGTGCCCTATGCAATGTCATTATACAGATCCCATAAACGGCTGTAATAAGTGTACCTGCGATTCTAACGGTAATAGTTGTATTACTAGTACTATTTTCACGAGAATGTCTTACTATTAATAGACAGTTTTTTATCGCAATAGTAGAACAGTAGAAGCTGACTAATACGACAAACACGGACACACGGATACACAAGGTGTCAGAATGCAAAATGTTTGGAATATGACAAATAAAAAAATGACAATAAAAAAGGTCAGAAATCAAATTGAAAAGAACTGTTATCTTATAAGACATATTAAATAAGTACGCTTGGTAGGCGTTGGTCATGTAAAACACACTTAACTAATTTTTCTTTACGCGTTTTCATATATATTTATTTTTTTGTTATTTATGCAATTCCTGCTTTATTACAATAATTTTCCAAACATAGAATCATTACTGAAGGTTTATATGTCAATATACGATACTTAAATAACTTTAATTGACTGTCTCAATTTGATTGTCTTACACACACCTGTAAAATAGACATAATCTTACAACTGCTAAGCTGAATTTATATGTGAGACAGGAAAACGGCTTTTTATTAATATTTGTGAATAAATTGAGGCAAAAATGTTATTTATTAGGCAGAATTTATTTTGTACAAATTATCAAATTCAATCTGAAATCTTTTCAATATATAATCATTTGTTTTACAATATACTGATTGAGAAAATAACAATATTTACCGGAAAAGCCTTTCTATTCATTCATGATTAAAACATTTTTTCTAACACTGGTTTTATCATGTTAACTGTAAATATATTATTTTTAATTGTTCTGTGAACAATGATTGACTTTTTCTTTAAAAAACAATTACCCTGAACCATTAAAGAAAAATTGCAGATGACGTGCCTGAACATTTTGATTATTTAAGCACATTTTTTTAAATATGATTTAATATCAAGAAAGTGAATAGTTATCTAGCTGAACAGTCCATTGGTACAATAAAGATGGGCAGTAGAACAAACATGGAGCTCTGAAAACATCAGAGGGGGGATTAGGTGCCACCGGAGAGTAAACATCCCTTGTCAGCCGGTCAAACCCGCCATGCTCTCTTTCCCATGATCTAACAAAAAAAATGTTATTAAAATACGAAGACAATCAGTGTGAATTTAATAGATAAACAATTT